AAAAAGAAACTGGAGGACTAATACTACCCAATTTCAAGAATTATTGTAAAGCTATAAAATGAAAATAAAGTGGCACTGGTATAAAGGCAGACAAACAGGCCAATGTGACAGAAGAATCCAGAAATAAACTGACATATACATGGGCAAATTATTTTTTAACAAAAGACACAAAGGCAATAAGGTGAAGAAAAAATAGACTTGAAACAAATGAATATTAACAGGTAATCACTGGATCTCTATTTGCACCATATACAAAAATGGACCACAGTCCTAAATGTAAATAGAAAAAAATACGAGAAAATCTTTGCAACCTAGTAGTTAGGCAGTTTTCTTAAATGTAACACCAAAAGAACAATCCATAAAGAAAAAAATGGCTACATTGAAATTGATCAAAATTTAATATTCTGGTCTTCAAAAGGTACTATTAAGAAAGGATTAGCCCGGCCAGTGTGGCTCAATGATTGAGTGTCAACCTATGAACCAGGTCATGGTTCAATTTCCAGTCAGGGCACATGCTGAGGTTACAAGCTCGATCCCTGGTATAGGGAGTGCAGGAGGCAGCCAATTAATGATTCTCTCTCATTGTTGATGTTGCTACCTCTCTATTCCTCTCCCTTTCTCTTTCAAATCAATAAAAATATTTTTAAAAAAGAGATGATTAAATCTGGGAGAAATTTCACCAAGGAGGTTAAAGTTCTGTACAATGAAAACTCTAAAATATTAATAAATGGAAAGCTATTCCATGCTCATGGATTCTTAAATGTCCATACTACCCAAAGCAATCTACAAATTCATTGCAATTCCTATCAAAATTCCAATGGCATATTTCACAGAAATGGAAAAAAATCCTAACATTTGTATGGAGTTACAAAAGACACTAATAGCCAAAGCAATCTTGAAAAAGGAAAATAAAGCTGAAGGCATCACATATCTTAGAAAAAATATTGCAACTATCACACTCCTCCTGATTTTAAATGATATTATAAAGCTATAGTAATCAAAACAGTATGATGCGGACAACCAAGATGGCGGCATAAGGTATATACCTGTACGTGCTGCCCCTCACAACCACATTAAAACTACAACTAAAAGACAAAACAGCTTTCATTCAGAACCACGGGAAAGCTGGCTGAGTGGAAGTTCTACAACTAGAAGGAAAGAAAAAAGCGCATTGAGGCTGGGTAGGAGGTGCGGAGGCATCAAGAGCAGAGGTACAGAGGCGCGTGAACCAGGCTGCACCTAGGTGCGCAGTTTTTTTCAATCAGGAGATACAAGGTCACAACTGCACTGAACTTGTTTCCGGCGAGACTCTAGGGACCCAGACTCCTACAGGGAGAAACTGGACTGTCTGGCATTGGGTCGGAAAGCGAAGGTGGCTTTCTTGCAGAACTGCTCACAGAAATCATTGTTACTGTGGGGGCGCGGGACTCGGGACACGGAGATGCCGAGTCTCGGAGACAGCAGAGGACAGCCATTGCTGTTTGCTCCGCCCTGGTGATTCTCTGAGACCCTGCCCCACCCAATTTACAACCCCACCCAAACTGTGTGCAGCGGTGCAAATGAATCGCCTGTCTTTTTGCAGCCTAACCTAACAAACTGCAGCTAGATCAGAGAACTCCAAAATTTCCAAACCCCAAACAAAGAGGAGAAATCTGCAGATCTCACGGTAGCTCCTGCTGGGTGGACTCACACAGTGGTTGAATTTGCACCTCCTTGGAGATCCAGGAGCCAGGGTACCCGTGGTCAGATACTATATTTCAACTCCTCACATCCATAAGTGACACACGCAAGAGGCAGACTCAGTGAGCACCAAAGCCCCACTGAAGCAAGTCCTGCCCCATAAGGGTGTCTCCAGCACAGCAGTTCTTCCACTATAGACACAACGGGTCCTTGCAGTCAATTGGCCTGAAGGTCATTTCCTCCCAGGGATACCAACAGCAATCAAGGCTTAACTACAGCAAGACTGTGCACCCAGCCCACAAAGGGGTGCACCAAGAGTGCCCACCTCAGGTGACTGGGGAGGCTGAGCCACTGGGCCCAATAGGACACCTACCACACAAAGCCACTCTATCAACACAAGGAAGCAGCCAAAATGCGGAGACAAAGAAACATGTCACAAATGAAAGAAATGGAGGAAAGCAAATTAACTGGATTTAGAGTTCAAAACCACAGTTATAAGGTTACTCAAGAATCTTCTACAAACCTCCAAGGAACTTAGTGAGACCTTCAAGGCTCTTAATGAGAATGCCAAAAAAATGGAAAATGACCAGTCAGAAATTGAGCTACACTGACTGAAATAAAGAATAATATACAGAGATCCAACAGAAGACTAGAGGATCCCAAGAATCAAGTCAAAGATTTGAAATACAAAGAAGCAAAACACACCCAACCGGAAAAGCAAAAGGAAAAAGGAATCCAAAAATATGAAGATAGTGTAAGGAGCCTCTGGGACAACTTCAAGTTACCAGCATTCACATTATGGGGGTGCCAGAAGAAGAGAGAGAGCAAAATATTGAAAGCCTATTAGAAGAAATAATGACAGAAAACTTCCCCTACTTGGTGAAAGAAATAGACTTACAAGTCCAGGAAGCAAAGAGAACCCCAAATAAGAGGAATCCAAAGAGGACCACACCAAGACACATCATAATTAAAATGCCAAGGGCAAAAGACAAAGAGAGAATCTTAAAAGCAGCAAGAGAAAAACAGTTAGTTACCTACAAGGGAGTGCCAATACGACTGTCAGCTGATTTCTCAACAGAAACCATACAGGCCAGAAGGGAGTGGCAAGAAATATTAAAAGTGATGAATAGCAAGAACCTACAACCAAGATTACTCTACCCAGCAAAGCTATCATGTAGAATTGAAGGTCAAATAAAGAGCTTCACAGTCAAGAAAAAGCTAAAGGAGTTCATCACCACCAAACCAGTATTATATGAAATGCTGAAGGGTATTCTTTAAGAAGAGGAAGAAGAAGAAAAAGGTAAAGATAAAAATTATGAACAACAAAGGGACAACAAATACATATCTATCAACAAGTGAATCTAAAAAATAAGTCAATAAAAAAATCTGATGAACAGAATAAACTGGTGAATATAATAGAAGCAGGGGCATAGAAAGGGAGTGGACTGACAATTCTCAGGGGGAAAGGGGTGTGAAGGGTGCAGGAAGAAATTGGACAAAAATCTTACACCTATGGATGAGGACAGTGGCGGGAGTTAAGGGCATGGAGTGGGGTGGGAACCAGGTGGAGGGGAGCTATGGCGGGTGGGGGAGAGAACATCTGTAATAGTCTGAACAATAAAGATTTATTTTTTTTAAAAAAAAAACAGTATGATGCTGCAATTTACAATAGCTAAGATCTGGAAACAGCCCAAGTGCCCATCAGTAGATGAGTGGATAAAAAAGCTGTGGTACATTTATACCATGGAATACTAGGCAGCAGTAAAAAAGAAGACTCTCTTATCCTTTGAGACAGCATGGAGGGACCTGGAGAGTATCATGCTAAGTGAAATAAGTCAATCAGAGAAAGACAAGAATCACATGATTGTACTCATATGTGGAATCTAAGTAACGAAATAAACTTATGAACGGAGTGGATCCAGAGACATGAAAGTATGGAACAGAGTGTGGAATCTCGGAGGGAAAGTGGGGGAGGATGGGTGTGTAGGTGATAATCAACCAAAGATCTTGTAACATATATACATAAACCGTGGACACAGATAGTAGGGTGGTGAAGGCCTCAGGCAGGGGGTGGGGGCAAGCGGGAGGGGGTCAACGGGGAAAAAGGGGGACATATGTAATACTTTCAACAATAAAGATTAAAAATAAATAAATAAACAAAGTGTGGTATACCCATACAATGAAATACTACCTTATCAAAAGTAATAAATTATAGGCACACATAACATGGATGAATCTTAAAATAATCATATTGAGTAAGATAAGTCAAACATAAAGGAGTACATATCGTTAATTATATAGTAAAATTCCATTTATATGAAATTGTAGAAAATACAAACTAATCTACAGTAACACAAACCACATAAGTGGTTTTCTGCAGATTAGTGGACTAGAAAGTGTGTGAGAGAGGTATTACAAAGAGATATGACAAAACTTTAAGGATAACAGATATGTTCTGTATCTTGACTATGGTAGTGGTTTAATAGGTATATACATGTGTCAAAATTTATCAAATTGTACACTTTAAATATGTACAGTTAGTTCACTGTATCTCAATTATACATCGCAATCTCTCTTTTTTTTTAATATATTTTATTGATTTTTTACAGAGAGGAAGGAAGATAGAGAGTTAGAAACATCAATGAGAGAGAAACATCGATCAGCTGCCTCCTGCACACCTCCTACTGGGGATGTGCCCGCAACCAAGGTACATGCCCTTGACCGGAATCGAACCTGGGACCTTTCAGTCCACAGGCCGACGCTCTATCCACTGAGCCAAACTGGTTACGGTGCAATCTCTCTCTTTAATAAGCAATATCACCTTCTCCTTTCAGCTCTAAAACAAAAAGCTATTTTCTTTCCTTTCCACCATTGATAGTATTACTCTCAAAACATTACAGAACTAAAAAAAAATTACCCCATATTCTCTACATTTTCAAAAGTGAACCCTTAGAATATCAATGCTAGCACAGATGTTAAGGTTGCCAAGATACAAATATATTGACAAGAATATTTTCCCCAACCACCTACTTCCATAACCCTATACTAACAGTTTTGCCACTGCTATTTCCCTTTACAGGGGAATACATATGATTCTAATCATATCTTTATTTTGCATCATTATGACCCAAAGACACCCTTAGAAAAAATATTGCCACTATCTCCCAACCTTCTTATTTGCTGTTCCATCTTCGTTTTCCTTGGTAAGTTATGACATCCATACTTCTATTTAGTTTCATTTCATTTTCTCACATCTACCAGACTTTTATTTTTAATTTTTTTAATACATGTTTAGGAGTAAGGAAAGTATTTCTACACACCTCAAGAACTGGTCCGGCTCCAAGAATAATTTGTTCCACTCCACTGGCAAATCCCTTCTGACTGAGAGCAGTAAGGTGGTGAATAAGAAAGTTTGTGCTTTGAGTCTTCCCAGAACCACTCTCTCCTGAAATCACAATGCACTGATTCTTTTTGCGCTGAAGCATGGTATGATAAGCTACATCAGCCACAGCATAAATGTGAGGCTCAAGTTTTCCCAACTGGTGGTTATCATACATTTTTACATATTTGGGGTTATAAATAGGAAGAAACTTGAATGGGTTAATGACTATTAGAATACTGCCAACATAGGTATAAATTTTTTCATGCTTAAAGCGATTTCGTAGATTTTCTAAGAGAGTTTTCTCATTCAAATCAGGTAAGCTACATAAATCATCAAAGTCTTTCTGTTGAGGCTGTGGAAGAAAACCCCGTTCCATCATCCTGCGACGTTCTTCTGTTACCCGTAGCCATGACTGAAGACTACCATAATGGATTGACCCATCAAGGTTTTTTTCTCTCAAAAGAAATCGGTAGTCCTCTCCACTTAGGCGATTTTCCAGAGCCATTCGAGGCCACAACATCATTCGTTGAACTGGACAGTCTGTTGGATTGAGTATCCATTCTTCTCCACCAAATTCCTTTACCTCTGCTAGAACATAACATTTTGTTTTGTCAAGATGAAGTCTGTTTATAAGAGAGTCGATCACCTCAGCAGCTGTGGAATTTTTTCTGGCAGGAATAGGACAGTAGATTGTCCCTTCTGAAATTGTCCCAGGATATATATGCAATGTATGTTCATTATCCTCAAAGCGTCGTCTTCCTCCATCATTTATATTCATATTGAATCCTGTCCCATCAGCATGAATAGTACATGTTCAGGATTGTGAAAACCATTTTCGTGGCAAAAGAACTGTAATATAAAAGATGTGAAACATTTAGAAGTCACATTACACAATCATTGCTTTCTGATGCTCAAGAAAGAAAGGTTTAACAATCATGTTAATTACATTTTTAGAACATAAAATCCTAAATCAGTATGGAAAGTCTTTTTTTTTTTAATCTAATTGGCTTGCCCGGATCATGTGGTCCAGTGGTTAAGTGTCATCAACCTATGAACAAGAAAGTCACGGTTCAATTCCCATTCAGGGCACATGCCCAGGTTACAGGCTCAATCCCCAGTGTGGAGCATGAAGTAGGCAGCTGATCAATGATTCTTTCTCATCATTGATGTTTCTAACTCTTTCTCCCTCTCCCTTTCTCTCTGAAATCAATTTTAAAAATATTAAAAAGGAAAAAATCTAATTGGCTTTACTAAGTGATTCATGAATTGGGCAGCATCCCATCTAGCAATGTCAAGGAGGAACAGTCTTGAAAACAATCTCATTGAGACCACATAATATTACATTTTATTGTTTAAATGAAGACTCTTTCTAAAACAGCAACTTGCCAAAAATTGTTTCAATGTTTTATATTAAATCAAAATCCAAGGAATACAAAATAAAAAATTATTTTGTCTTTTACTATCTCAAATGTTTTTAAAGTACCTGAGATTAGAATTAGGTCCTTTCTTTATATCTGAAGAGCCTCTCTGAAGACTAAGATGGACAAAATAATCACACAAACCTAATCACCCTGCACTGAAAAGCTCTTATGAATAAAGCAAAAACAAGAAAAAAATGCCATTGATGGAGCAAAAATTTCGTGAAATAGAAAACAGTAAGATGAGATCAGAAAGTAAACTATTTTAATTTAATTAATAATTAGATAAGAAAAACCTGCTAAAGAACAGACATATTCAAGAACTTCTATACTCTTGAGGAGAAGGGGGCAACAAAAAGATCATGCCCTTACCCTGGCTGATGTTGGTCATCGGTTAGTTAGAGGGTCGGCCCACACACCACAGGGTCATAGGTTCAATTCCCAATCAAGGGCACATACCTGGGTTGGAACACATGCGGGAGGCAATCAATTGATGTGCCTCTTTCACTTCCATGTTTTTCTTTCCCTCCCCCCACTTGTCCATCCCTGGGCCTATCTTAATTACTATAGCTCTATAAGTTTTGATATCTGGAAAGCATATCACCTCTATTTGTTCTTCTTTAACGTTACTTTCACTATTTGCTCTGCCATAAGAATTTTAAGAGCCACATACAAACATAAAATAACCTTTTGGCAGTTTGATATTGTATAGATTTTATAGATTAATATTGGAAAAAACTGGCATTCTATTGACTTCCCATTCATGAACACTATGTTATTTTTTTAATTATACTATTTTTCACTTCTAAGATTTCTTTCATTTTCATATCCACTTGATCTTTTCTCTCCCTCTTTAAATATCATAATTGTTTTAATTTAAGGGATATTAATTGTTCACTTATCTCCCTGAAAGTCCTAAATATATATAATTTTATATTTTCCAAACTAAAACTTTAAACTGCTCTTCTGTATCCACTGTAAACTGCTCTTTTGATGATTGATTTTATTTTGTATCTTTCTCAGCATTAGATGGCTTAATTTGTTTGAGAATTCAGCTTTATAGTCACATTTTTTGATACAAGATTTTTTTTGGTCTTTCATACATTTACTGAGAACCCACTATTTTCTACTTTTTAAAAACATAACCACAATACCACTAATTGCACCTTTAAAATTAACAATTTTTTAAATTTTTATAAATATTTTTAATTGTTTTTAGAGAGAGAGAAAGGGAGAGGGAAAGAGAGAAACATCGATTGGCTACCTCCTGCACATCCCCTACTAGGGATCAAGCCTGCAACCCAGGCATGTGCCCTGACTGGGAATGGAATCTGTGACCTCTTGGTGCATGGGACAACACTCAACAAATCGAGCAACACCAGCCAGGCTAAAAATTAACAATTTTTAATATTACTATTTTTTACTTCCCCAGTGTTCAATTTTCCCATTTAACTCATAAGCATTTTTCTTACAGTCTACTCAAATCAGGAGAGTTGTCCTGAAGTAACAGTATGGACATGCTATGAGCTGGCAGGTTCCTAGTTGTAAAGCTATGTTTGCATCTCCTGAATCTCTAGGTATATGGCTTCATATAAACTGTGGCCTCTGGCACCAGTCAACAGCAAAGCTACTCCTTCCAGTCAAGCAAGCTGTACCTTGCACAACCAGGAGATGCACTGCAAAACTGTAGTCTGATCTCTAAAGGTGTACAAGATGGCAGTCCTAGAACTAAACTCAGAATTATCTCTTTCAACAGAGGAACCCTACCTATCCTGGCCCATGGTTTCCAACAATGAGACCAACTGTAATAACTCTTCCCCATTTTCAACAAAGAAGCCAAACCTCTGTTGCTTTACCTGCAGTCTAGGCTCCGAGCCATAGCCTCACTCACTACTTTGTGTTCTATTCCCTTTCAGAAACATAAAAATGTTTTTCTTTTTTTGAGCCCCATGTATGTCCATTTGATTTTCTCTTCTTGTTACTTTATCAATCACTGCTTTGTGTTTGGGGGGAAAAAAGGTTGCCTCAAAATATCATCACAAATACATCTTGACAACAAGCCATGAGAGTTTATCAGAATCATCTGGGAAACATTTTTAAAATATACATTTCTAGGCCCAATAATGTTTCTGAGGTTGGGAAATCTAGGCAATTCTGTTGTTGCTGGTCCAGAGTATAGCATTTGGAAATCAATGGTCTATATTTCCACTCTCCACTCCCTTACCAGTCTTCCCACATAGCAAGTTACTGCCAATGTTCTTTGAAAATATCACCAATTACCATAAAGTTGCCTAATCCAAGAGCCTCTTCTCAATTCTCATCCTAACACACCACACTGAAGTGGCCATCTTATTCTTGAAACTGCAATCACATGACAATTACTTTTTTTGCAATATTCTAATAGGCTCACTCTTTCTGATGCACTCTTATAACTCTTTTTCCTCACTTTAAAAATAAAAATATTCTCAGTTTCTGGTCTCAACCCAGTGCTCTTTTACCTGGATAATTTTATTTAGTTCTTTATAACTAGAGGCCCGGTGCACGAAATTCGTGCACTCGGGGTTGGAGGTAGGTACCTCAGCCTGGCTACGCTCACCAGCCATGAGCCCAGCTTCTGGCTGAGTGGCACTCCCCCTGTGGGAGCACACTGACCACCAGGGAGAAGCTCCTGCGTTGAGCATCTGCCCCCTGCTGGTCAGTGCATGTCATAGTGATGGGTCATTCCACTGTTCAGTCGATTTGCATATTAGCCTTTTATTATATAAGATTTATACAGTTGCCTATTATCTATGAATTTTTGTGCTACAATGGCAGAACTGAGTAGTTGTGATAGAGACCATATGTCCATAAAGCAAAAAATGTTTACTATGTAGTTTTAAAAGAAAAAGTTTATAGACCCCTATTTCAGGGTAACCATTAAAAACTATCTTAAAAGTATAACTTCTCAACTAGTAGAGTAAAAAAAAATGGAATGATAAAAAATAATCAATTCCATGCCCTAGCCCAGGGGTGGGCAAACTTTTTGACTCGAGGGCCACAATGGGTTCTTAAACTGGACCGGAGGGCCGGAACAAAAGCATGGATGGAGTGTTTGTGTGAACTAATATAAATTCAAAGTAAACATCATTACATAAAAGGGTACGGTCTTTTTTTTTTTTAGTTTTATTCATTTCAAACAGGCCGGATCCGGCCCGCGGGCCGTAGTTTGCCCACGGCTGCCCTAGCCAGTTTGGCTCAGTGAATGTAGCATTGGCCCGCAGACTGAAGGGTCCCAGGTTCACTTCCAGGAAAGGGCACATACCTCAGTTGCGCTCCATTCCTGGCCCTGGTCGGGGAGTGCATGCAGAGGCAACCAATCAATGTGTCTCTCTCACATCAATGTTTTCCTCTCTCTCTTTCTCCCTCTACCTTCCACTCTCTCTAAAATTCAATGGAAAAATATCCTCAGGTAAGGATTAGCCAAAAAAAAAAAAAAAAAGTCATTTCCAAAGAAAAACAAAGGGGAGGTTTAAAATAAATGGAACAAATGGAAAGCAAACTAAATATATCAATTACTGTATTAAGTGTAAATGCTCCAGTTAAAAGACAAGGATTATCAGACCAGATTTTAAAAATCCAACTATATGCTGTTTTCAATAGACACAAAACTGTAATATGAGGAAACAGAATCCAGAAGACAAAAAAGATATACCATGTAAATTCTAGCCAAAAGAAAGTCGGTATAATCTAAAATAACAACAAGCAAAATAGAAAAAGAAAACTGAGTTAAATATATCATAGGTCCCTTTTAGGCCTTGCATTTTATAATTCTAGTTGTAGGCCTGAGACCGTGGTCGGCAAACTGAGGCTCGCGAGCCACATGCGGCTCTTTGGCCCCTTGAGTGTGGCTCTTCCTAAGCCTTAGGAGTACCCTAATTAAGTTAATAACAATGTACCTACCTATATAGTTTAAGTTTAAAAAATTTGGCTCTCAAAAGAAATTTCAATTGTTGTACTGTTGATATTTGGCTCTGTTGACTAATGAGTTTGCCGACCACTGGCCTGAGACAAAGGTCTCTGGATATCATTTGTGATCCTGAAAAGCAGGAAACTGAAAAAGACTAAGTTAAGGAAGAAGTAGCAGACTGGCAAGTAAGTAGACTAGCAGGTATTAATAAAATAGTCTATAAATGAAAGAGACAGAAAAAAGAAAGAGAAGTATGAGTTAAATGTGTGTTAGGAGCTTGGGAATACATCTTCACAGCTACAAATAGAATCAAGTAGAGAAGCAGAAACTGAAAACTTAAAACAATGTCTTCCCTGGCCAGTGTGGCTCAGTTAGTTCAGTGCTGTCCAGTGCACCAAAGGGTTACTGGTTGGATTTCCAATCAGGACAAATGCCTGGATTTCAGGCTCAATCAATAAAAAATTATTTAACTGATAAACTAAGGT